CGCTTAACGACTGAGCCACCCAGGCGCCCCTAGAATGCATTTTCTAATGACTGATTTGGAATACAGACTTGATCTGAAATGTGTACCAGAATATCATTACATTTTTAACTAACCCTCAAATAGCCTTACAGATTATAGGCTAAACTGGAAGAAGAAATATTTATTCAATAATTGAGAAAAACTGGTGCTTACCACGAGATCTGGGAAGCCAATAACAACTGTAGCATAACTATTCTCATCTGAGAGAATTCGGTTAGGAGAGGCAATCTTTTGTCCGACAGCTGAACTTAGATTTTCAGATGATAGTTGATCACTTGAAATTGTATGAGGTATGCTGAGATCTGCTTCTGAGGTGTCAGAGAAACATTAGATACCATATGCCCCTAAAATGCTCCAGGAATTAATTTTTGCAAGATTTCATTCTTGCCAACTCAAACAGAAAAGCACAAGTTAAAAAAGAGAAAACACTTTAAATTATATTCATGGCCTTTTGTTTGAGAAAAGTCAGTGTTTACAATCAAGGCATCTTCTCTAAGTGAATGCAAGTATTTACTGAATTCAAAATTTGATTAGCAATACCTATTATCATTAATAGCACCCTGCAGGAAAGACATGAAACTGATCCAACCCAGTGCTGGTAATGGTATGTTTTAGTTTTTTTTTCTAAGTACTATTCACTCCCCCCAAAATGGTGATGAATTAAGTAGAAATCCTGAGGGGCTGTGTAAAAAAAAGAAAAGATGCTACCCTAAAAGACTAATGGACTTGGAACCTAAATGTATAGAAAAATTCTGATTTCTCAGTTCAAAAAATTCAAAGACAGAACTGAAAAGATTGTACATTCTTATTTACTAATTCTAATGTAGTTACTAAGTTCTCTCTTTTGGTATAAATTTAACATATGTTGATGTTATTGTTCTTAAATGATTCTAGAGGACTGTAAGCACGTACCATACAGCCATAAGCACAAAGAACAGGGAATTTACCTTGTGTAACTCCAAATCCTGTGCTAGGGGGCTCCTCTTTCAACATGTACAACTGGCAAACCCCACTATCCTCAGATGCAATGTGTGCAGGCTTACTTAAAAGATATCTCCTGTAAACAAACAAAACATCTATGTGAAAAGCTTTTCTTCTTTAATAATTGTGAGTCCAGACTATGAAAAATCAGAATTCCACACCCCCCCCACACTCCAAAGCCTTGTTTTTATATTCTGAGTATAATTTGCAATTTCAGAGTTACATCATGAATTAACAAATAACTTCTCGACACTGTCTAGAGGGAGTAGTGCAAAATAACAATGCAGTAATAAATAGGAACTAAAATCCAACACTTCCTATATGAGGACGGGCTGGGGGAAAAAAAAAGCAACCCTAATGTGACACACCCCCATTATCATGGAACCTGCTACTGATATGACTGTTTGATCAGCCAGCAAGTTAAGTGGGAATCTGGCCTCTTATTTGTGACTAGCTGAGGGACAGAAGCCCTCACCACTGTAATCCCCTTGATCTACCTATTTTTAAGATTTCTAAAATAGGGATGTATAAATAGCAAGAAATCTTTTGCAGAAGGATACTTCTGCTTGTCACCCTAGGGGCAGAAAGAGTCTGTATTTAGCCAGTGGAGGTAATGCGTGAGGGAGGGGACTCAAAATTTAGTGTGCACCCTATTTATGCCAAGTGCATATAATGTCCCTTTCATCAAGAAGTATACAATCCAATGGGGGGAGCTACACAAACATGAACATGACTAAGTAAGAGTAACCAAGATAAAACGAAGAAGAAACTCCTAAGGGGTGAATTCTGTGAAGCTCCAAAAAGGCAACAGCTCTAGGACAGAGACCCTCTGAAGAGAGGATAAATCAAAAATCTATTTTGAAGTGTCTCTAGTTTGGCAAGAATACTGTGAATTCTCAATGTACTAATAGGAAAAAAAAATCCAAAGAAATATGGATCATACGTAAAAGTCATTATGTTTTTACTGTTAATTTCAATGTCATTCTCTGAAACACTTTCATAATTACTCTGCGAAGCAATATTTAATTTATTTTAGTTTTCCCCCTCCCTTTCTTCTTTCACCTACAGAGACGCCAAATTCAGAAACTGTTAAAAGACGGACGTTGGAAGTCAGAACAGTAAGGATGCTGGATAACTGATAAACATGGTTGAGCTATGGTACACTCCGTGAGATGCGATGTAGATCTACCCACTGGTTTGTTTTGTCCTCCACCAGAAGCCACTTGTCCTCTGCTACAAGAAAAACTGTCTTGAGGTTGATGGGAAGTGAGATGGTGTGAGTTCGCCCTTCTAGAACATCCAGCACAGTCAGGCTGTTCCTGAAAGAGGAGAAGAAAACTATCTGAAAGGAAATGGTGAGGATAATGGTTGAGTAATGACGGCACAGTCATTTCATGATCTATCATGCAATGCTAAGAAGAAGGTGTTCAAGACTAAATAATAACAAAGAAAAATGGCAATTGAGACAATGGGGATGGGGAGGCAGAGGGAGAGCGAGTATCTTAAGCACCCAGCACAGAGCAGGACACGGGGCTCATCTCATGACCCAGAGTTCATGACCTGAGCCGAAATCAAGAGTTGGAAGTTTAACCAACTGAGCCACCCAGGCACCCCAAGTTCTATCTGTTCTTAGGTCTGTTTTTAAATGTTCTACAATGTGGGAAGAGTTACTTTTACAATAAAACATTTGCAATTTGGTTACACTGGTTTTAAAATAAGAAAAATATAATTAAACAAGGAAAGAGTGGACAAAATAAGGATCCCAGTTTAAATCTTCTATAACAAAGAGCTCACCCATTTTCTTTGTAGAATACTAGCCAGTTTTTGTGCGAAAATTCTTTACACATTTTATAAGTTTCCTAAAGACAAAACAAAACAAAATATTCACATTAAATGTGTGAGATGCAGTCATGTCTCTTCGGCTCCTTTCCCTTAAATAAAGTTCTTTGACATATAAAACATATAATTCTCTGAGAAGCGACCTCTTTACTTAAGACTCTTATGGTAATGTGGATCAAAATATATTTCAAAATTTATTTCATCTTTAGGATAAAAATTTTAAAAATAATGCCAAATACTGGTTAGAAATAAACCTGCTATCTGGTGATTAACTGTGGAATTTATATCATGACATAAACATACAGGAAACACTGTTTTTTATAGATTTGGATACATTTATGGCATTTAAATTATCTGGTTTTTTTTTTTTTCATGGTCTTTTAAGACTTAAGTATGCTCTTCTGCAGGGCAAAAAGTAAGTCTTGCTTTTTCTGAACGGCAGAATAAATTCTCTTGGATTGGCCTAGAACTTATTTACTAGTTTAATTTAGTTAACGTATTCAAATGTTTATTTATCTAGTAGGTGCAATCAGGTGTCAAGCTCATCAGTTTATTACATAAATCCAAAACGTAAACACATAACTTGAAAACAGTTCAGTGACTACATGGTCAGGAACTTGTCATGAATATCATGCTCAAAAAGCTCATGATGTTCTATTATTATTATAGTTCAGTCCTGACAAGTCTTCATGTGAGTATGATGTCTACAAACAAAAAGTTACTGGTTACTTAATTATAAGTGTACCTATGTCTATTTGTATGACATGAACATCTACAAGTGCACAATAAGAGAATTCTCTTGTGCAGTGTAGTAGTAAACCAAAGGCATGGAGAGGGATGGGCATGCATGCATCTTTAAGGTAGAAAGCTCCAGAAATCAGAAATCCTTGGCAATTTGCTGGACACGTTGGGTGTTCCTTACTGTTTCCTCCTTGTTCCACCAGGAAGGTTTCTTAGATGGACCCTCTTCTGAAGGGAGGATGAGACGTTGAAGGGCTTGGCCAGTGGTATCTAACAATAGGATGACATTACTCTGGAAACAAAGAGAAGAGTAAAAAGCTCAAGATTTGTTTTTTTTTCCATTTTTCTTTCTTTTTTTTTTTTTTTTTTTAAGCAGCAGCCTCTTGGCAACCTGGGAATAAAGGATACAGTGGTAAACCAAAGGGAAGATGACAATATTGAAAGACTTAAGAGACACCATAAAGACACTAAATGGTTATCCTTAATATAGAATATAAAGTACTAGATGGTTATAGGAAGATATTTCCAATTATGTAATGCAGAATGTATTCTCTTTGAAGACTTTATCTTAAAACCATCTCCTTCTAAATACAGGCTACTTTAACCATGATTCTGTTTTATTATGTACTTGAGGAAATTAAGAGGATCAATAATTTTTAAAGTCCAGTTACTTTTATTAAAACTACACTTATAAAGAATATTTTGTTGAAAACTGTCTTACGTTGTGCATATTAAATCTCACCTATGTTTTTCACAAATCCAGGTTTACTTCAGAAGATATGTACATGATAAAAAGATGGGTTAGCAAGAAAAGATCAAGGATCCTAAGAACCTAGTTCTAGAATGAATGTTTCTTCATTTTAAAATTCACTAACCTTGAAGATCTCACAGTTGGTGCTGCAATAATGTTCAAACGAGAGGTTTCTCCAGCAGTATTAATCACAGTTTTGCAAATGAAGTAATAATCTCTCAGTAATTAGCATTTTTTTTAAGAAAAAAATTTTTAAATAAACCTTAAGCATTAAAATCAATGAACAGAAACAAATGAATAAGAACTTAAAATTGAGAAAGCCAGAAAAGGTGAAATATTTTATTTTATTATTTATTATCATTTTTTAAAGATTTTATTTTATTTATTTGAGACAGAGAGAACATCAAGGGGGGGCAGAAGGGGAACCAGACTCCCCTCTGAGTAGGGAGCCCAACATGGGGCTGGATCCCAGGACCCTGGGATCATGACCTGAGCCGAAGGCAGACGCTTAACCAAAAGGTGCCCTATAAGATGAAATACTTTAAAGAGATGCAATGAACTTGGCTTTCTATGTTTGAAGATTAGACAAAAAGGTGTGCAAAAAGGGCACCTTTAAGTTGTCAGGCCTCATTGTTATGCAATTGTCTTCTTGTTTTTGTTTTAAATTTGAGGCTCCTCCAGTTATCCTAACCCCTATGAACTTTTCATTTCAAAAACTTTCTTTGGGGAAAATGACGTCATAAGGCACCCAAAGAAGTAATATATAGTTTGCAAAATATAGGAAACAAATAAGAAATGTCTGTTTGCTTGTCTTTAATATTTACTGAGCAGCTTATGTTTAAAGCACAAAGGAGAACACAATGATGAATTAACCATGACCCTTGCCCTGTCTTATGTAGTCCAGTTGGAAATAAAAAGAAATGCAAAAAAAGACTGATGATTCATCTGCAAATCTGGGACCTCATCGTGTGGTTTCACGTCTATTTGACTAGCTAATTGTATTGAAGTGCTCAAGCATCAAAGTCATATTTGTACCACATAGATTCCTTCTCTCCAAATCTCGGCTGTATTAAAAAATCCTACTAAGCATGTCGACAGAGCCTAAACTTCTCTGCAAACACCACTCTTCGAGTGCATCATTGGTATAATATGCAATTCTCCTTTCAGAATGTGTGTTAAGGATATTCTTTATAAAATCATCATTTCCTATGAGAAGTATTATTTCTAGCCTCTGAAAGTTTGAAAATGATGGCAATATCTTAAAAGTTTTACTTAAGAAAATGTATTAAGTTAAAAATTTACAGTCTCCATCTAGAGTAAATCTTTTCTAGCAATTATTTTTTAAAGGAGAAAATCTTTCTCGTATGATAAGTCTGAACATTAACACGAATTCTTAGCACTTTAGCAATTTGGGATAATATTAACTCTTCTAAGCAAAAGAAAGTCCTAAAAATAATGTTTGATTCCAAAACATGATTAAACAGAAGAATAAGCAGATGATTAAACAGATACGATTAAGCAGAAAAAGTAAGTTAGTACGGTTTTGCATTTTTCTTCCTTTTTAGGGTCTGATACTTATATGTTCATTATTTGGCATAAGTGGACTGAAAAACTGTATCTTTCTAAGTAAGTGACAGAAAACATATATATTTCCAGCCATGGTTGTATTTAGACTGTTTTAGAAGCAATTGGCAACATGAAGGAGTTCTGTTTCTCCATCCTTTTAGATGCTAATGGTTTCCTTCTGTAAATGACTAATAATATATTCTGTCTGAGTTTAAAAATAGAATTTTGCATCACATCTGAGTACATGTAACTGTGGCTTTGGGGCTCCTTTAAGGGGGCAGGGAGAAGAAGCAAGTGAGCAATTTTATTATGTTTGTATTTGACTGGGAGAAAAGTAACCTCTGGATGACCTCAATGTCCTAAAGTCTGAAATTCTAAACTTTGTACAGATGAAATAAGTAATCTCATGGCAGGGGAGGGGGAGGGGAGGAGGGTCTTTATTTTTAGGCATGGCAAAGTTTCCCTTTCCTCACTTAAGATTTTATTTTAGCAAGGAAGTTGAGCAACTTTTTTAGCCAGGGAAATGCATCCATAGCAAAGCTTTATAAAGACAAGACCCAGAGGAATTAATGGGAGTACTTCTCTACGATATTTTAGCTCTGCTTTCAGGGAGGGCAGAATGGGGAAAAAGGAATTGAGGACAGTGCACTCATTTGCTAGTTGATTAAAATTATTTACCATTTGTTAAATTTTACAGACGCATGCTGTTCATTTGGAATCAAAGAGGTCTTAGCCTCCTAACAGGGCCATAATATAAAATAGGCAGCTAAGATACTCTCTCTGGGAAAAGAAGAGGCAATTCAGAGTCCAGTGGAAGTACTCCTATAAGCTGTGCATGCTTGCTCAGGGGTGCTGAGATAGTTTTCTAGAAAACGGTTCAGACTGTGGTCAAAGGGCCAAGTCAGGTGGTAGAATGCAAGAATGCCAGGAGGCCAAGGGCTGCTATGGAAGTTAGGTACCTCTTTGCACTCAACAGAGTATTAATCAGCGATGTTGCCAAATAGTTGGATCTTTTGAGAAAATATAATACTTGCTAGGAACCTAAAAATCTAGTACTTTCAAAGAATTGGTATATGTAGATTTGACAGTTAATTTGACAGCTGAAAATTGGGCAGGACTGTTTGAATAAATATTCCAAATTTAGATTTTTATGGAAATGCGATTGGCTTACTGAATTAAAAATCACCAAGATATCATGTGCTTTTTATGACAGACTCTTCTCCTTGTGGAATTCAATTCAATGGCATTGATATTTTATTAGAAACCTATAAAGTAAAACCCTTATTCCATGTGAAAATTAAAAAAAAAGTGAAAATCAGAAAAAAGTTTAACTCAGAATTTATGATAATTTATGCAAGGCCTAAAGTTAAAGTTGACTTACTGACTCAGTGAAACACTGACATGTTATTTATGCAATATTTCCTCTTGATTAGACATGGTCTAAAAATATTGTTTCTTGGTAACTCTTTGCTCTCCTGGTGACTTTAAATACTTATAAATAACAACACTGCATTTCTTTAATATTTTCCTATTGTGAATACTTTTTAATTATTCAGATTATTCTTTTCTCCAAGTAGCTGCTGTGAGTGAGATGGTGGATGAAGTTTAATTCTGGTGGGGCCAATCCAATTTGGTTTGAATCTCAGTTTTACCATGTATCTACTGGGCAGGTTATCTAAACTCTCTGAGCCTCCATTTCTCCCATTTAAATAAGGTTAAGGGCAGCCTCAATGTGCTACTGGAAGAATAACATGAAACAATGTATGTCATCTTTTATTTGGCACATTGCCAGCATTTAATAATTGATCCTTCTCCTTGAGAGGCTCATCACTTGCTTTCTGGGATACCACACTCCCTGGTCTGTCCACCTACTTCGCTGGCCACTCATCTTTAGTCCCCTTGGCTGATTTTCCCTGTATCTCCCTGATTTCTTAATATTTCATTGCCCCAGAGCTTGGACTTCTCTACCCACACTCACTCCCTTGGTGACCTCTTTCAGTCTCATGGTTTTCAATAACATTTTTCTGCCAAGTACCCCCAAATTTATATTTCCTGTTCTGATCTCTCCACTGAACTCTAGGCTCATCTACTTGGATGTCTAACAGGCATCTCAGATTTAATCAAATGTCTAATCCCTCACAAATCAGTTCCTCATCTCAGCTGATGGCGACTCTACCCCTTCAGTTGCTCAGGCCCTAAACCTTGAAGTTGCCCTTATTAACTATACCCTCTTTCACCCCATGCATTTGATCTGTCAGGATCCTGTTGGTTCTACCTTCAATACACATCCAGAATCCATCATTATTGACAATCTTCATTCTCTAAACTGCAATGATCTCTTGCTGGATCACTGCAAACATTTCTTAACTAGTCTCCTTCTTTCTGCCTCAGCACCTACAGACTATTCACTGCGGAGGAGCCAGAGAAATTCTTAAAAATATAAGTCAGGTCATGCTACTCTTCTGCTTAAAACACTCTAACACCTTCCTCTTCCACCCATAGGCAGGGCCCAGGACGTTACAATGGTCAATGAGGCTCTGCACAATCTGCTTCTCCATCCCTTGCACCATGCCCCTTCCCCAACCAGCTGAGCAACCTCTGTGACCTCCACCACCCTATACTTTCCCCCTCACTCAATCTTCCCCACCACACTTCTTTAAAGATGGAACAAAAGCATGCTCCAGCCTCTGGGCCTTTGAACTTACAATTCCCTTTGCCTAGAACTCTCTTATTTTAGATATCTTTTCTCCCCCTCACTTCCCTAAAGTCTTTGCTTAAGTATCCCCTCCTCATTTAGGCAATCCCTGCCCATCCACCCTATTTTAAATGGCAATCTTCCGCCAGCCTTCTCTTTTACTCTCTCTTGCTTCTCATCTTCTAACTTGAGATATAATTTAATGATTTCTTTTGCTTATTGTCTACCTCCCTGCACCAGAATGTAAGCTTTTCAGGACAAAGATTTTTGTGTTTTGTTTGCTGCAGCATCTCCAGGAATAGGCACATGATATGTATTTGCAGAATGAATAATATGCTCAGTATTGTGGATACTAGGTGGATAATAAATATGCAAAAACATTACACTTCCTTCTATTGGTATAGTACAGAGTAACTTAGACCTTTAGAATTCTCACTAATTGCAACACAGCCTGCTTTTTGATCTCTACCTTCTGTTTGGAATTATTTTAAGCTTGACTCTAAGCATCTGTATGACCTTGAGCATCATTACATACCAAAGGATCTCAGTGTAGTCTTGCAGTGAACTGAAGGTTTATGTCCTCCCAAAATTCATATGTTGAAATCCTAAGCCCTGATGTAGTAGGAGGTGGGGCCTATGGGAGGTGAGGAGGTCAGGAGGGTGGAGTCTTCATGAATGAGGTTAGTGCCCTCATCCATGAGACACCGAGGAGATGCCCTGCTCTTTCTGCCAAGTGAGGTTACAGTGAAGACACAGCGGTTTAGGAAGTGGATTCTCACCAGACACCAGATCCAGATCTGCTGGTCCTTGATCTTGTTCTTCCCAGCCTCCAGACGGTGAGGAATACATTTCTGTGGTTTGTAAGCTACCTAGTCTATGCTCTTTGTCTGACAGTAGCCCGAACAGACCAAGACAAGTCCATTCACTATATTTATATGGCTATCTCTACATGAAGAAGGTCATTCAGGTTTCAGATAAAATGTCATCATCCAAGAGGAGCACTCTTTAATACTGTTCACTCTTCCACCTCCTCCTACCCCACCCCTATCACTCCCTAGGACATTACCTTGTTTCGACACAGCACTTAATCACTACCCGAGATGGGTGCATTTATTTGTTGGCTTCCTTTGTTGTTTATCTCCCCAAAGAGAATGGAAGCTTCACAACAAAGAATTATCTGGCCTCAAATGTCATCAGTGCTGAGGTTGAGAAACCCTAACTTACAGGCTTCCAGAATCACAGGTCATGTTGAAGTCTCTGCAGAGAGGAAGATATTAGCCTACCTTTGTGGTACTGACAAAACACAACTCTGATCCCTCCTCCATCTTTACGAAAGCAGTATTTTTACTTACAGGTTGCAAGTCACTCTTGCCTTTTCCGTCACATAGCTCATTGTTGGCATAACTGTACCATGTAAGCAGCCTGGGATGCCTTACCTGCTGCTCATGGAGAATCACTTGACCCTTGAGGGGATTTCCCAGTGGTGCCACTGTCACAAATGGGTGCCAAACTCTACTGGCCATTCTTGGGAAGATGTCAGAAAAGTCCGCCAAGTAGCCACTTTTCCCAGTCATGTTCATAAAGTATAAGGTGATGGGATTGCATGCAACTACATAGAGGGTATTTTCCTCATTTTCTGTAATGACAAAAAGGTGTTAGTTTTGTGGTCTACATGAGATTTTCTGACTGGTCAAGAGGTCTGGTGAAATCTGAATCATGAGACAGAGTGCACAGTTGGAACTCAGCGGATGACTTGTAGATGGACTGATTAGGAGATAGACATATATAGAAATTAACTCTGATTCTAAGCTTTTCTCTCACAAACACAGAAGAGGTAAAAAAGCAAAGAAAAAACAACAAAAACTCTAGTCTGCATATGCGGACAATACTGAAAGAGAGAGTTAAATGATAGGAAGGGCAGCATCTGGGTTTTGTTTTTAAGGGCTAATTCTGACTGACAGCAGCTGCCTGGAAGGTTGTTTTGAAACGGCAAAGGCCAGGACAAGGTTTCACCAGAAAAGCGTCCTGATTAGCCAAGCCTCTCGTAGGCGTGGGCCGAGGATCATGCATACTTATTTCCTATCCCGAAAGATGCAACAAGGGCCAAAGTTCAAACTTTATCCGCAAAATCCATACTTATTCTCTACTAGTGAATGTAAAATACCTTCACAAGAGCACCAGTCTGTTACCAAAAAGCTCTGTATATTTTAAAGCACATACTTTTATGCAACAAAGCTGATTTTAGGAATAAACAATATTCATAGAAGTTATATGAGCAAAAAACTTGCTTCTGTCTTTTCGCCTCAACAATCCCCATCTTAGGCAAGTGACTTTCTCCCTTTCCTCTGTGAACTGAGGAAACCTTAGTTTAACAGGACCTTAGTAACTGCCATCAGTTGAAAACTTCTGCCAAAACGTACCCAAGGGCACAATGCATGAATCAGTATGTAATGGCAACAGTCCAGAAATGTAGATGCCAAAATTTCACATCCTTTATTTGCCGTTCTTTACAATAAGTTTAATGATTGCAAATTACTCCAGCCCTGCTTTCGTAGTTCATGTAATCATCAAACTGGAATCCCAGCCCCCAAATCCAATGTTTCTCTTTTTCTTTTCCCCTTCTATTTTTAGCATACACCTGGGTGTGTTTAACTTTGTGCTACAACTGTAATGAGAAACAGACATATGCATACAAACTTAGCAGGGCCTATGTGGATTCCACAAAAGTATTTTGTTAGGTTGTTATAGGAAATTAGTTCTAAATTACATACAATTACTATCCAATCCAAAAATGACACAGTTACTGAGTCTATCATAGACTTCTTGATGTTTAGAGGTTCTTTTAATCCCTCTTTTTAAAAAAAATCAGTGCAGGAATGAAAAATCAAAAGAATAAATTGACATACCGTGTGATGTAGCAATGTCACAGATTAAGTTAATTTCATCCAATGGTAACTTCCAGGAGGCACATTCTTCAGTAAAGGTTTGGGATCTTTCTTCATATCTTTCTATTGGATACTCCTGTACGTTTATAAGGGCTGGACCCTATAATAAAGTAGTTATCTGGGTTAAGGAATTTAGGTAGTTACCAAAATGTAGGAAGGCTAAAGTTCTTCGAAAATATAGAGTGTAAATTTAAATACGCAACATCATGAATTACCTCGTCTAATTTTATTGACTGACATGGTACCTATAACAATAATACCACACACTTGCATTTATAAATGCTTTCATTTGTGCTATCTTATTTAATTTCTCACTTTCTTTTCTGTTTACTCACAAAATATACCAGATGTAAAATCCCATAGGTTTCTCATTACTTCATTCCTTCCTAAGCCAAGAGCAAGTTCTGAACTGCAAGTATTAGGACCCAGGGCTGTCCAAACCAGGAGAATAATCAGTAAATGTATGAATCAGGGCCTGATACAGTTCCATTGTAAAGAATGATTATTATATCATTATATAGAAAGTATGGGCTGAACCTGGGTCTTTGAAATAAAATATATATAAAAAAAGTGACATTTGAAATAAAAAAAAAATAACCACTGATAACCACTACCTTTATTTACAAAAGGCGGACTATAACACAGGTAGTGAACATTACTCAATATAAACAGAAGGAGAGGAATTAATTTAATAATGTTATTGATATTAGGGCTGGGTCCTTCGAGATGCGAACTATATAGAACTATATAGATGTAACCACACTTTCAATATCCGCATGCCATACAGTCCTTAATTAATTAAAAATGTCTGGGTTAGATAGTGACTCTTGTAGCATCCCTGCCACCCTCGACCCCGCTCCTTTCTATCTGGTCCCTATCTCAGGAGCCGGAAGTCTAAAAACTATGTTCCTCATACTCCCATGCAGTAAGGGTTCCGGACATGATTTAGGTTCTGCCAATGAAATGCACTTGCATGGTCCACAGGTCAAACCTGACCCACTGCCTGCTTTTGTAAATAACATTTTATGAGAACACAGCCACGCTTCCCCTGCTAACATACTGTCTACAGCTTCTTTTGTGCGACCCCAGCAAATGGAATAGCAGCAGCAGAATCTGCATGGCCAGAAACAGTTACTATCTGGCTCTTTACAGAAAAAGTTTGCTGATCCTGCTTGGCTATGTAGCTGCCAGCAACAGGGGTGGTGGTAGAAGCAGCAGCACTGATCTTGAGACTGAAAATCCAGTGGTGGCCCTTTGACTTCTGTTTCTTCTGTCCTTTCTGGTGATTTTATAAGCATCCAATTCCCCACAGTAAATCCCTTTCTGCTTGAAATACCTAAAGGAGTTTCTGTTGCAACTAATGATTGATACTCTTTCCCTTTGCCTTTTTACACGGAAACAAGTATCGTGGAGTCAGTGTCCTAGGATAACACACAACATACCTGACTCTAACTCAGGTTAGTTCTTAGGAATTCTATTAGCCACTAGCAATGATCTACACTGAGTTCCTCAGAGGCCAGACTGGCTTGAGAGCTGGAGCAGAAGCTAAATCTAAAATAACCTCAGAACAAGTCATTTCTGGGATTGTATGGGCTTTTCCCAGGGAAGATATAGAAAAATTTGTAACATTCAACATTTTAACGAAGAAATAATGATATCAACCTTTACGTCTATATGATGAGTTTCTGCTGGACACAACAGTTTTTGTATTCCATTTCTTGACTGACCAATCGTCCAGTAGCCCACGAACGTCGGCTCTGGCAGAGGCAACCTGGCAAGGATGATTTGAAAAGTAAACATTTCTTCTTGTTTCTAAGTCATAGAAAAAAAATAACGAGCCGTCTATTATCAACCACATGAATAAATTTGAAGAACGCTTCACTTAGAAGTGAGTTATATTTTATTTTATTAAAAGTCTATAGTATGACATTTAGAATATACTTTAAGAAGAAGATTACACTCCTGCCATTTGCAACGACATGGATGGAGCTAGAGAGTATAATGCTAATCGAAGTAAGACATAGAAAGGCAAATACCATATGATTTCACTCATATGTGGAATTTAAGAAACAAAACAAGAAAGGGGAAAAAAAGAGAGAGGGAGAAATCAAGAAACAGACTCTTAACTATAGAGAACCAAAGTGATGGTTACCAGAAGGGAGGGGGTGGGGGGGATGGGGGAAATAGGTGATGGGGATTAGGGAGTGCGCTTATTCTGATGAGCACTGGGTGATGTATGGAAGTGTTGAATCACTATACTGTACAACTGAAATTAATATCACACTGTATGTTAACTAACTGGAATTAAAATAAAAACTTAAAAAAAAGAAGACTTCACATTTCTGAAACTCAGAAGGTAAGGTCCTATTCTGTTTTTACCTTGATGACAAATATAATTAAGGTTTACTCCTTAATTTCTCCTTGACTTGGTAAAATACTTAGTAATTTAACACCTCAATTCCTAGTGAAGTACAGGAAGGATTTAGAGAAAAAAATGAAATAATCCATCTATTTTTTTAGTCTATTCTTTTAAATTTGGAATCAAATAATAAATAGTACACAATACTACAAGTCACATATTTCTAAGTTGTACAGGGCAAGTTTCATAGAGTGTATTTTAGTACTTTAACCTTTCCTCCTCCTCCTCCTCTTCTTCTTTTTTTTACTTTGAAGTGTAATATACATACAGAAATGTTCACACCAATGTATCACTTAGCCCTGAATGCACCGCTGTATCCAGGTCCTCATCTCCACTAAGGGAGCTACTATCCTGACTTTGAATGGAATTATTCTGTGTGTATTTATTTATTTATTTAAAAGATTTTATTTATTTATTTGACAGAGAGAGACATAGCGAGAGAGGGAACACAAGCAGGGGAGAAGGAGGGGAGAAGGAGGTGAGAAGGGCAGGGAGCCTGATGTGGGGCTCGATCCCAGGACCCTGGAATCACGACCTGAGCCTAAGGCAGACGCTTAACGACGGAGCCACCCAGGTGCCCCGGAATTATTCGGTGTTTAGATTCCTTTTTATTTAAAGTGACTTTTACATAAAGTGATTTGTCAAAATATGGCAATGCTAAACTATAAAAGCACAGACAAATTTTTGAGAATAAAGCCTTCTCATTTTAATCATACTATCTCTTCTTTGAATCTTTAAAAAGAGAACCATTAATTTGTCATTTAATTTATTATAAATTTATTCTATGGTAAGTTAAGGTAAAAAATGATTCAGAGTTAAAAAGTCATTTAAAAATAAAGCATGTGGGACTATAAATTGAAATACATGCATGGAATGAGTTTGATGATTATTAAAAGAGTATATATTAAAAAAGAGTATATATTTACATTTAGTAATTATTTTATTTTCACTAAAAGGAGTACACATATTTCCATATGCTTAATAAGACCATGTTAAGGCTCAGACAGTTTTTGCATAAAATAATGGAACCAAGCATTCTGGTAATACGCTTCTTGCCCCTTTGAAATGCTAATGTTTAACATACACACAAAAGAATTTTACAGCGAAATTCTTCTAATTCATATGACATAAATCTCTCAAAAGGAGGTATGTGCTTTTTTATCTATCATCTAAAATACATTTTAAGTGTCTGGACAATTACCCAGATTGGTCAGCCACTTCCCTGTTTTTACTAGAAATGGGGTGGGAGGGGCACTCAATCAGGGGATTTACCATTATTGTGTTTTCTCTTTTAAATGTAATAAAAACACATTTCAGTGTCAAAAGGGCAGATCTTGAAAACATGTTGCCAACTAGAATCTCTCCTTGTTTAGGGAATGAACAGCATTTTTCACTTGTTTTCAGCAGTTCACTAAAGGAGAATTAGATCTCCAAATAGAGGAGAATATAAAGGAAGGACACACCTAATTTCCCTCTAGCCTGGAAGACTTAGTGAAACAAAATGCAGGAGGCCTGTGTTCTAGTTCTTCTATTAACTAGCTCTGCAAATGTGGGAAGAGAAAAGTCAGCTAATTTCTCCGAGTGTTAATTTCTTCCTTTGTGAAATGAAAGGGATGATAGGCAAGGTTCCTTATAGACTGAGGAGTCTCTGATGATCTATCGCGGGAGCGAGTAGAGGGAAGTGTCAGTGCTAGACTCAAGAGCCTTGCAGTACCTTCGTGCTCTGAAGTGAAAATACTCAGAATGAAAATACCTATACCCACCAACAGAATCAGTGCCCTTGACAGATAAGTATGCTTCATTAAAGCTTATAAAACAGGCTCTAAATACATCTCAAATTAGCTCTTCGAAGACAACAGAAACAGTTACACATCTTGAAATCTAATTAGAAGTGGACAATTGCTTTAAAAAATGATCCTAGGTTGACAGGTTGATATCTACTCTAAAAAATGGATCTAAAATAGCCTCTAATAATCTCACAAAAATATACAGATGCTTAAAAAAAATTCATCCACTTGAGAAAAAGTAACTTTATTCAACTTCCAGTTTTTATGGACAATTTCTGGGATGCTCATGAAATCTGGTTTGAACTTGCAAACTCATTCTAAATAACACTCATGGAAGATCAGGCTGCCTGGTTCCATCTAAAAATAGCACTAGCTGTTTGGTTGGCAGCATGTGGGAAGAACCCTCAGGTACCCCATATGGAAACTATCTGGAACCACATAACAAGATTGCTATTGGCAATAACAGCTAAAACCAAAAGACACACGTTGGGTATTCTGGAGTCATACAACAAACTGACTCCACCTTGCTTCTTGGTAACACGAAGTGTTGTCCTAAGACTTTTCCTGTGGGCTCCAGACTGGCCAACTGAGGTAAACCAAAGCCCCTCATTTATTTTTCACTACTAAGTCCTCCCAATAAGCTGTGGAAAAATGTATTACTAACTCTTTCCCCTTCAATAAGTCAGTAGTCAGGGGAAAGGGGAAGCACTGTATTTGGGTGCATGAGTAAGCTTTGGAACTGGAAACATAATCAACACTAATTTGGGGCTAACTCTAAACGAATAACCAGTTAGCAAAAGACCCTATATTCCATTACTGAAATCTGTCATCCAACTTTAATCACACTTAAATTGTTACACCTGATTTCGTGGAAATGACAATGGTATTTTCCATGATTTTCAGATCTTGACACTTGTATTGTTTATTAAAGTCTTAGCTGGAATGATGTCTGGATTTGATTTTAAGGGGGAGGAAGATGAACTTAAGGCCTATAAATAGCACTACTTTTTATCTTCAATGTCATTCATGAATTTATGTTTTTTAAAACAATGTTTCAATTCATATGTTGTGATGTTTCTTAATCCCTGGTGGAAGTATTAATAAAGATCTGGAAATAAAAGTTTTTTTTTTTTTTAAGATTTTATTTATTTGACAGAGAGAGATAGCGAGAGCAGAAACACAAGCAAGGGAGTGGGAGAGGGAGAAGCAGGCTTCCCGCTAAGCAGGGAGCCCGATGCGGGGCTCGATGCTAGGACCCTGGGATCATGACCTGAGCTGAAGGCAGACACTTAACAACTGAGCCACCCAGGCGCCCCACTTTTCGTGAAAACTTTTACTTCCAGGGGCGCCTGGGTGGCTCAGTTGTTAAGTGTCTGCCTTCAGCTCAGGTCATGATCCCAGGGTCCTAGCATCGAGCCCCGCATCGGGCTCCCTGCTCAGCGGGAAGCCTGCTTCTCCCTCTCCCACTCCCCCGGCTTGTGTTCCCTCTCTCGCTGTGTCTCTCTCTGTCAAATAAATAAATAAAATCTTAAAAAAAAAAAGTTTTAACTAAAAGGTAAATACCAAAATTATAACTCAGATAAAATTATACAGAAAGCAAAAAAAGAGTTTTTTCCTAAGCATGCCCACAATTCATAACATGATGCATATGGACACCAAAGCTGAGTAACAGAGTCTGAATGACATGCAAGAGATTTGTCTAAGATTGTTTCCATAAAGAGGTGATCTGGGGTTTTAGAGTATGTTCTGGCAAATTTCTGCCTTCTCTGAACATTTGCCAATACTATTTCTGGAGTCTGAAAGAAACACAGAAAAAGATTTGGATCTTTCTAGGGGCATTATGCAATTGGAAGTTGTTGACGTACTTATTAGCAACAATTCCTAAAACATCTCCTTACCACAAGAACTACTAATTTTCACAGGAATAGTGGAACCCCTCAGGGTAGTTCCATCAACTCTCAAAACCTCATCAATTACTACCATCTTGGAGAAGAAAAAGAACAACTTTGATTTTAGCAGTCCTCACTCACTCCTAATGTTTTAGATCTAACCTCTCGTAAAAATTAGGTTGGACTGTCCAACTGAGTTTACTAGAGCCTTTCATAGAATAACCCTGACAAATATGTCCACTTTTGGCTCTTATGACTTCCTCTTACTCTCCAGCCAATTTAGGCCTTAGCCATCTTGAACTGCTACTTGCTCTTCCTGAACAAGCTATGCATTTTCATGCTTCCATGAGGCTATTACCTCTTCCCAGAATTCCTCTCTGCTATTGCTTCTTCGGTGAAATCCTTCTCAGTCTTAAGGCCCAATTCAAATGTCACTTCCCCTTGCATCTCCTGCCCATATTTCTTTCTGAGCAGAATGAATCTCTTGCTCTTCTGGGTTTCCATGGAAATTTGCACATTTGGAACTCCTAGAAACTCTTAGGATACAGTTCTGTAGAATTTGTAATTTTCAAATTCAAGGTCTGAGAGAATAAAGTTTTTGAGATCAAGGTCAGAAGTGAATCCCTTGCAAATATTTATATTTATTAAAATAAAAAGTCAGCATACTTAAAAAGAG